CTTGACCTAGTTCCGTTGGACGTTCTCTAGTTTCCATGCTCGAAAATAACGGACTGCAATTATTTTACAAAAAGCAATTTTATTTTTCAAATTGAAAAATTGAGCTTGCGGATGGTAATTTTGCGTACGAAAAAAAAAAAGGTTTCGCGTTTACGTAGGTATACGTACATGTGTGTGTGTGTTTCGTTTTTGGTCGACACTTGGGCAGAAATGTGGAGACAAAAATTTGAACGCGCCCCGTTGCATAAACACAGCACGATATGACCAGCAATTTAGTTGGCTGCCAAAAATATCGGAACCACGAACGGTAACGAAATTCCATTTATCTCGTGTTTATTATTAAAAAGTCGAAGCGGAGCGCGGAACGAGAGAAAAATAAATCTTCGGGCTTATTTCCTTCCAATTGAAAACTATAATATGAACCGCGGTATATTATTCCATCTGCTGTTTCAATTCTATTCGACGTCACGGTAATAGATTTTTAAAAATACAGTTATTCCATTTAATTTCATCTAGCATTCGATAAATGAAACATTGCCGAAAAAAGAAAGAAAAAAAATTCTTTGGTGATTTAATTATAAATTAATCACGTTGTTGATTTGATGACAGATTTTTTTCTATGTTTAATGCTTGAAGTAAAACGTTCGTCAATTTTTTCTTTTTTTTTTTTTTTGGATTCTTATCTAGATTTGGATTATAAAAATCAGATAAAAGAACACTACTTGCTGCTCTTCGTAAGGTGGCCGGAAACGGAACGCTATCGAACGGTCCTCTTAAATCGAGCGATGCTCACGTCGATTGCTGAGCATCGCCATTGCAGAAATGCAGCGGAGTGCACCGATTAAAAGTGCACGCTGTTTTCGTGTTAAGTGCTGATTCCGCTCGCGACCTGAACTCGGGTCATGATTAAACATTGTAACAGAATATTACGTATTTAGTATATCGCGTTCAATGCCCGATTCCATTTGATTTAAATCTTTCCTGTGAAAAACAAGCTTGACAATATTCACTGGAGTTATTTCTTTGGTGGATGTAATTTCATCAACATGTTCATCAGTTTAAAAAAAAATTCTATATGCTATAGCTCGAAAGTGTTAGGACCATGGTTAATAAAATCGTAGATAATATTTATATATGTATGTATAGTAAAAATCCACAGTGTACTAATATAAAATATAAAACAAAACCAAATATCTTAAATCTTAATTATCCCGTACAAATTACTATAATTATCTACGATATAATGATACTATTTTAGTTAATAATTTAATATTAATTGAAGAAACGTATCTACATTCTTCCAATCTATTTCTTTTTTTTTTTAAATTCAAGTGACTCAAGATCGGGCGTTTTATTGATCGGGTGGTAAATCGAAAAAGAGTTAAACGGCTTGAGAAGAAAGGTTAGGATCAGCTAGAGAGGAAATTAAGAGAGAGAGAAATTTCTATGGCGGACCAGGAAGGAATGATTTTCAATCGGAATTTATTGGCGCGACACGGTGGCACACCGGCGTGCCGTTGAAAAAAAAGAAAGGGACACAAAAGCCACCGCAATTACTGCTTCCGCTTTGTCCGTCCTGCCGGAAGTCCTATTCATACTCGTCACTATGAGCGCCGTTACTTCCGTCATTGTAGTTACGGATCTACGACCGATTGTAAATCATTCTCTCTCCGGTCTTTCTTCTCTGCCTTCCGTTTGAAAATAATCGGAACGGCCGTTTTAATTTTAAACGACACGTGTTCGCGTAATTGGCATCGATTGAAATGGTCGTTAATATAATATAACAGATATAACACATGAAGAAGAGTCAATTAGTCTACAGAATGAATTGAAACTATGCAGTCTTGCCAATTTGAACGAATAGACAAGTATTTCTCACATTTTTCTTTTCGTTTGATTTTTTTAAGATTGCATCTGATGGACTATTAGCAACCAGTATCAGTGATAATAGTATTAGATTAATTCAAAAATTTTAGTTTCTCGTATCGTTATACTTGTACATGTGGCATGATATGAAATTAAGAAATATATGAAACACAATCAAAACGTTGTATCACGTTCCAGAGTTATTTACTCTATTTTATGATCGAACGATCGATTCTAAGACGTTGATTAAATGTTTAGATTATAGAATATTTTACCGAAATAAAATGTAGAAAATTAGCTGCTTACCTTCAGCTACGCATTCCTCAATCCTCCTCCGCGAGATACTCGGCTCGAAGATCGAACGCCTGATAGATCGCGTTCACAAAGACTTTGAAGTTGTAATGGTTGTGCCTGAAGCACGACAGATCTAGATCATAACGCGTTCCACTTGAGTTATGGATGCAAGATGGTCTACCTGGGCTGTAATTGAGTTCGAAAATGATGTAGCCCCGTGGAAGATTGCCTCTGAACATCTGTTTACGAAGGTTTCTGTCTTTCTCCTCGTATTCTCGGCTCGAGAATTTTGAAGCCTTCCGAGCGTAAAATGATCGATTGCTTTCCTTTCGTTTTGAGCTCGTTTTTGTGAAGTTAGCATCTTAGGGGGAGGAAAAATTCCGGGTTCCTCGAACAGACATGATGCATAGCTGGAATTTTTGAATCTCTTCTGTTATGTTTAACACTATTTCTTCGGTCCATTAGTTTCAGTATGAAAGAAATCCATTGTGACTTTTTTTAACGATCGTTTTAAACAAACAAAATGCGCAGTAACTCGTGAATGTACTTGTTTTGTGAGAGCACATAGATCTGTTAATTCTTTTACTTTTACTCTTGCTTGGACAATATCTTATGTATAAAGTGATAAAGTTTTATTTATAAAATATCTAATAGTATAAATATATAACGATGAACGAAAGAAAGTTTAAACTTATGATATTGCTATGTATATATATCGAAAATTGGTAATTTTTGTGTTAGATATTTTTTTACAAATATTAATAAAAATCATTTTTTCCTCTTAAATATTGCAATTTCACTCTATAAAATTACGAATTATCTTGTCATTTGCTTTTTGCACTTTCTTCTGTCCTCCACTACATCTAGTACAATTTTAGACACATTTTTCACAAGTGTCTAGTTTTCGGAGTGAAAGGGTTAATGAACCTATCAATTATATGTATTTATTTAAAAAAAAACTATATTTTATATTTAAAGGGATATTAAATTATCAATTCTACATCTATCATCGCAGGTGAAAAATTCTTTTTATTCGTTCTTCGTTCTTCAGCTCCAAAGATATAAATCACAAAGGAGGCAAAAGAGAAAAAAAAAATGATGAGGTTGCCTCCACACAGAGGCAATCTTCGACTCGAATCAAACAACGAGTATCGTTATCCTTGGAAACCCGATTCGAGGATTGCATCCTGTATCCTCGAGGCATCGTTCTTTGCCTCGGTTTTGTTCTTCACGCTCGTTCACGAACGTCGGTCACTCGAGCTCGGTGGTCACAGAGACGACGCAAATTCCACGGATTTACCGAGCTCACGTTTCACCGTGTTCGAGGTGCAGAGACAGGGTTTGAACAGGGTGGAGGGTAGTTACAAGCGCGGGAAAACGATCGGAAATTGTTAAAGGCCGTTTCGAACCGCGCGGCCACTCGGCCGCTTATGCCAGCTTCTTTCGACGATGCAATTTCCTGCTCGCTTCCCGTACGCCAACCCTTTTTTTGTTATTGATTAAAGACGAGGTGCCCTCCGGACACAGTGCCCTTCTTCTCGAGGCCATGCTCCACCGACCGTCGAGAAAATTATGTTTCTCGATTCTGTCAAGAGCCTTAAAAAAAAAAATATCGTTTATGACTGTCGTGTAACGCGCAAAGAAAAAGTTGGAGCAAGTTGGAGGATGAAATTTCCTGAACATGTTGCTAAGTGTTGTATGAATTAAAAATATTATAGAATGATATATATGCGATTAATAAATAAATTATGAATGGTGTATAAAATGACATATGTGCGAGATTAAAAGGATAATTTTTAATTAATTGAGGTTATTCAGAGGTCGTTCACACCAGTTCAAACGTTCAATTTTTAATTTCGTCTTGTTTCAAACTGAAATAGCGAAGATTTATATAGTAAGATTTATATATATCTGATCTAAGTTTACCTTTAAAATAATGAATAATTAGCGTAGATTTCTACGATATTCTTGAATTTATAAATTAATACTCTACTCCTTCAAAAAATGTCCCTAATTTTAAACATCTCCAAATAATTTTATCGAGAACAGTTGTATCGATTAATTATGCCAATTACATACTTTTTTGCCAACTGCTTCATTTAAAAATCGAGCGAAAATCGTGATGTGTAATTTTATTTAATGTTAATTTCACGTCATATTTTGCACGCGTTTACATGAAATAGAAAGCGTATTAAAGTATCGAAGAAATATTTAGATATCTTAAAATATTAAACATTCTCTAAAAAAACCACATTAATTATTTAATGTTTACTATTTACTTACAATAAATGCTCTTTGATCGGATAAAATATAAATAATATATTTGTTCTTTATTTACTCATTTGTGCCTTATTTTGTTTATTGCAAGCAAATAATAAACGTTAATATTAAGTATTAAATATTAGTCTAGCTGTAATAATGATTCATTTACGAATATTTGATATCGATGCTAAATGTTACAAAAATAATATGTAACATGCCTGAGTTATTTCCACACAAATGATCACACATTGTTTGCGTTGACATCGAAATTAAAAAAAAAAAAAAAAAGAAGAAGGAAAGAAGAGAAAGAAGGAGAACCGCAAGCGGTACTGGTATCGCCAACTGACTCGAGGCAACTCGACCTTTAAGTTTCTTTATTAAGCGGGTAGCATACGTCGTACGTGTGATGAACGGGTCAGATAATTTGTCTCCGACATCGGGGGATCGCTGTTATTAACCCTTTTCACCGGACTTGTCTCGCTCGCAAATTGACAGGGTGCATCCTTACGTGAGGAGTCGAGCTCGTGTTACACCATCGATAAAATGACACTCTAATATACGAACACGTGCACGTTGCCTGCCTTAACGTATTATGCTCGTATTGTCCATCATTGGATTCTACTACGTGCCACGGATCTTTTATGTATTGTCAGTGAAAATAACAGAAATCGATAGACACACAATATCTTTATCTTCGCCATCGTCTCGCGGAATTATGTCAAACCGAACGCAATATTGTTTCTCTCCAGTTTTTTCTCCCTTTTTTTTTTTTTTTCTTTCTTTCAGTGTAACACACTGAAAAAAGTTCTTTTGTATTAATAATGCAGTTGACACTCGATTATTTTCTCGTCGAAACAAATGGGTTTATATTTCACGCGCGAGGAAACTTGTAGGTAACAAAAGAACAAAATATCAGTGCTATTCTGTCTAAATTGAAAATACCTACTTGGTTCTTTTGTATGTAGTAGCACATTTATGTTTCGTATTGTAGCACGTTTATCCTGAAATGTTAGACATTGCCACAACTTTGTTTTTTGTTCCACAATTATCGGTATCTTTTAGTAAATACACTATCGCTTTACCAGTTCTGTTAACTGTTTTGGCTATTTTTGTCACAGAATAATGTTCTCCGTTTAATATTTCAATTTTCTCCCGCGATCCATTTTCACAAATTTCAAATTTCAGAAGTATTCGACTTATTGTCTGCCTCGAAACTACAGAAATATTTTCGTTTTTGTATTTCTAAGAATATTGCATATCTCGGTAATAACATTCAACACAACATTCCACGGCCAAAAATACTGATGTAATAATCTACGCATTCTATTTTACGATACATAATATAAGAATATCGAGTGTGGTAATATATATATATATTTAAATATATACATTTTATTTAAATACATAAATATTATATATATTTATGTTTCCCATGATATTACAATATATATATATATATATATA